AGTTCTCAATCCCTTCTACCTGACTTCCTTGGACTCTGGATCTCTTGCTAGAACATTACACACTAGGAGATTTCATGTTAACCTCTAGAACCAACCACAGACAATTAAGTACTAGCTTCTGAGAGTCTTGAATCAGCTGACCTAACATGAAAAAAAAAAAAATTACAGGCTGGCCAGTTAGCTCAATTGGTTAGAGCACAGCATTGTTAATACTGTAACACCAGGGTCAAGGGTTTGGTTCCCTGTACCAGCCAGCCACAAAAAAAGAAAAAAATTACTAGGAGAAACTAATTACTATGAGTCAATATGGGTGTATGATGAAGCATAGTAGTATCAATGGCTGCTGTTAGTTCTATACGCTAGCAAGGCATCTGATAAAGTTGCTCATAACTTTGAGCAGAACACGAAACTATGAGTTAGATTCAATTGGGAATTAGTAATTGGCTAAAAAATTTTAAGTTTCCCATAAAATTCTGAATAACGGAGCTTAGTCAATATGAAGGGAAGATTTATATAATGCAGTGGTTCTCAAACTTTATCATTCATCAGAATCCCCTGGAGGGCCTATTCAAACAAAATGCTGGGCCCCACCCCAAGAATTCCCAATTCAGTAGGTGAGGCCCAAGAATCTACATTTCTAACAAGTTCCCAGGTGATGCTCTTGCTGCTCATCTGGGGACCATGTTTTGATGATGTACTATGTATCTCAGGACACTAATGTACTACATCTCAGGATATTGATAACAGGTTTTATTCAACATTTTGCTAGTGACCTTGTTAAATATGTAGAAACCATGGTAACAGATCTATAGATGACATTAACTTGACATAAACAGATCTAAATAGGCTAGTTACGAAACAAACCTTAAAATTTATTAAGGATAATCTTATAAGCTTAAAACAAAAACCAATCATACAGAGATTAGCAATCATAAAAGAAGGGAAAGATATATAGGTTTTAGAACATTGTAGCTTCAATGATTTGAAAGTATACTCTGGCTGCAGAACAGTCTGGGCTTTATTAATAGACTATGAAACTATGTATTTGATAGCCCAACTACATATCATACCAGTTTCCCTACACCTGGGTATTTCTCTAGTTAACTGTGGGTATCAGATATTAAACAGAAGATAGTCAGACCAATTTATTCAAAGATCTTCCAGATCTAAAATCATATCACATGAGAACAGTAAAAGGAACTGTTGATGTCTAGCCTTCAGAAGATTCACAGGAATATAAAAGCAGTATTCATATGATTGGCTTGTAGATGAGGATTTGGTTTTTTCTCTATGACCCTAAGCAGAACTGCCACATATAGCTGTCAGGCTGCTTACTGTACACGAGTGCCCAGCTAAGGAAAAGAGGGGGGAGAAGCAGAGCTGAAATCCAGCTCACATGTCACTTGACAAGCTATGTATCTTGGTAGGGGTCAAGTCCAATTGGAAAAAGGGTAAATTTTCTCTAATTCATATAAAGGGGATAGCTCTGGAGGACTTTTTCCTTTTCTAATAGACTAGTGGTGACCCTAGCTCTCAGGGAGAACTAGGTCCATTAAGAGAAGTTTAGAGAGAAAGTATCTTCAGCTAAATTTAAGAGATTGACAGAGTGTTGTATTATCTGTAAACCCATTTTATGAGAAGTAGCTAATCCCCCAAATTGGATGTTCAAGGAATGGCAGACAACTATTTGGCAGGATTATTTTAGAGAGGATTTCGAGGTGGAGGAGTGTGTAAGCACATGTGTTATTACCAGTTAGGTGGTGAAACTCAATGATCTTTTAGCTTCTAGGATTCTTCATCTGAACTACCTGCCTATCTTCTCTTCCATATCCCAGTTGATTCCCATAGTGTCAAGACCACTTTTCTCCACAAGTTTACCATGTATTCCAACCTTCCTTCTGCCTAGCCAAATTCTTCTTCCTGTCATTTCTTCTCCTTTCCCTGTCCCAATATGTAGAAAGTATACATTCTGCATTAATACTGAAAAGAAACTTTGTATTTAAAAAAAGACTTCCTTCCAGATTAAAAAAACAAACAAAACTTACTTAACACAGGATGAAAACTTAGTTTTTAAATTCTCAACATATTCATTAGAGGAAGCTAAGCTTCATTTTTTTTGTTTTTTAAAGATGACCGGTAAGGGGATCTTAACCCTTGACTTGGTGTTGTCAGCACCATGCTCAGCCAGTGAGCAAACCGGCCATCCCTATATGGGATCCGAACCCGGGGCCTTGGTGTTATCAGCACCGCACTCTCCCAAGTGAGCCACGGGCCGGCCTGCTAAGCTTCATTTTTAAATGATTTATGTATCAATCACCGGAAATTTGTGTATCAATCACCAGAAATTTGTGGGTTGGGGGGTTGCTAGCTCTTTTGCAACAGAAAGAAAATGGAAGTCTTCTTCATTATCTATACTACACTACTTAAAGTAAAAAGATGCCTTCTGGAAAAGAGAACATTTAACATCAGATGGAGTAAAAAAAAGCATTAAAATATAATCAGCTAATTTATATTTGTTCAGTGAGTACTAAATGCATGATATTGTATTAAGAAGTAATGATTAAGATAACACATAGTAAGTATTAAGGAGCACAGCCAACCACAGGCAAATCTTAAAGGAAGGCAAGCTGTCTTCTCTGGTTTGTCTTTGAATATAGGTCTTTCTCTTTCCATATCCACGAGAGTACCTCAAAAAGTTCATGGAAAGATTTATATTATCTTTTAATTCTATTTTTCCATGAACTTTCTGAAGTAACCTCATACAGTGCCAGAACCTTAGCCCCCATCAGGCTAGAGTTTACCCCTATTGCACTTGACCCAGACTTCCTTAACTGAGCTATACCTCATACTCAGGACCTTTCTTAGTCTTTTCCAAAAGATTGGTTCTTTAAGAAAATATCAGCATTTTAAAAGAATCCCACCCAATCGAATAACTGAAGGTGGAAACTGTCATATAGTAGAATAGTGAGGCAAAGATTTTGGGGTACATATGTCTTTCTCTAAGGCTAGCCCTTCATGAGAGAGAAGAGAATGGAGAGAAGATTTAGACACCTGAAGTTGTCTAATCAAACAGTAATTTCCATTTTTGAGCAATAAATCTAATTTAGAAGACACAACCAAATGTCAACAAAAAATTCAACCACCTAATTATTTTGAAGCCACACTAAAGATGTATAATACAGGAGTCCCCCCTTATCCATGGGGGATATGTTCCAAGACCACCCAGTGAGACTATGTTTTTTTCCTATATATACAAAATTTTGATAAAGTTTAATTTATAAATTAGATATAGGTGCCTGAAACCTTGAACCCTATATATACTATGTTTTTTTCCTATATATACAAAATTTTGATAAAGTTTAATTTATAAATTAGATATAGTAAGAGATTAACAACAATAACTAATAGTAGAATAATTATAATATACTGTAATAAAAGTTATGTGAATGTAGCCTGTCTGTCTGATCTCTCTCTCAAAATATCTCACTGTACAGTACCATGGGTAACTGAAACCAAGGAAAGCAGAACCATGGATGAGGGGGAAACTACTGTAATACAACATGCATCAAGCAACATTTATGTAAGACACATATAAGAAATGTCATACTAGAATGATCTCATCGGGCAACTTTTAAAGAACTTAAAGAAATCAGTTTCAAACTATGTATTTGTAGAATGGGAATAACAATTACTTTGAGCTTAAAACTTGTTTAAAAAAGTGGTTTTGGGGATAAATATTTTTGTAAATACAAAATAAATATTTTATAAATAATAGTTTTATTTTGAAAAAGAAATATAATAAATGCTTTCTTTTATGAGAGAAAATTAGAAATGCCTTCTAGGAAAAAAAAAAATGAATCCTCTTCCCTAAAAAAAAAAAAAAAAAAAAAAAAAAAAAAAGGACTACTATTCTTTTGCCTTCTAAATAAGCATTTTCTGTTTTTTTAGAGGAAATGGATAGGTTTTTTAAAAACCTTGAAATTTTTTTGTGTGTATCAGACAATTGGCCTTCTTCAAAGAGCCTATGTAACTATTTTCTTTAATATTAATTATGTTTTTCCTAGCAGAATGTCATATACACAGTGAGCACACAAATATATGATACTTGTTGGGAAAAAAAGTCACTCCTGCTTCAACTAGTTGTTAGCAACTGACATCTAATTTTTTAATGTCACTCACAAAGAATGTATTATTGCAAATTCTTCCTCAGACATATATTTTATAATCCTTCTTATGCCCACTGATTTTCAATTTATCAACAGTGGTGCCTGGCTGAATCGTCAACCAGGAATTTTCATTGTTTAATCAGTGTACCATTCATTTGAAAGCACTGCTTGAAAATTGCTCATGCACACCTACATCCTGTACTTAAAGAGTTATAATTTAAAAGTTAATAAAACCCATATCCAGAAGCACATATAACAGGGCTAATAACCAAATAGCATACACAGTCTTGAGGCAGATTGACTAATGACAACACTAGATTATAGAATCTGCTAACCTTGTTACCTAAACAAAACAGAGTGAAAAACAATGGCAAAAGAAAAGGCTTGGGAAATCTTTGGGAAAGAGAAACAAAAATTCAGAAGCTTCATTGGAAATGCAGATCCTAAGGGTATCCTCCTAGCAAATATATAAAAAGTTACTTATAAAGAAAGTAAGAATGACAAAGTTAGAATCATTTACTTCATTTATAACAAACATTAGGAAAGTCTTGTCAAGAAGGCAAGAATTACCAGAGGAAGGGATAATGGGAGAAATGAATCACCTTTTTAGTTATCTCAACCTGGATTGCTTCTCTATAAAGGCCATAACTGTGAAGCTGAGATACTTTTCTCTTCCTGGAAGAAAGTTAGCCCTATTCCTTAGGCTGCTGAAAGTTTACCTGAATTAGACTTCTTCCCTCCTTTCCAAACTATCCTACTATATACAATTTTTTTTCATGTAATTTAAATATAGATTCCTAGACATGCATGAGATTTAACCCATATGGTACTTACATTCACATTGTATGACATCTAAGTTAAATTGCTGAACAGCTCCCATGCTTATTTGTTTTAACTCACTGTCCAGTAGCATCTGCATTAAGGATGTTGACAGATGCTGGCAGGCTGACATGCAAGCTGTCTGGGCAACTTTCCCCTGTTTAAAACAAACAACCAAACCAAAAAACAAATAAACAAACACAGAAATATATCATAAAGTATCAGAAAAAATATATACCTGGCATTCTTTTTGCTGCTTTTGTTTGGTACAATAGTGATTATTGGCCTTTCTGTATCTGTATTCTGAGTGGCCATGCCTTTATACCATAGGAATTAAAATTAATATTCTTAGTTCGCTCATCTTTCTCAGGATGTAAGTATCATTAAAGCTCTAATTGTACAAAAAAATTAAAATACTTACAAATTAAAAACTATTCTTATTTCAGATCTCTTGAAATGTCAAGTATTTTTTAGAATACACATTAAAATATGACATTTGTGATATAAAATAACTGTCAGATTGACAGAACATTTTATCCATATAAAGCTCTCCTTTATATATTTAGCAACATCATAATAAAGGAAGTTGAGTGATTTATTATTATCACTATTTAAACCGCACCTTAAATCCAAAATATACTTTGAATCATAACTCTTTACTTCTAATCAGAACGTCAGCCTAGCATAGCATTAATTATTGGTGGGGGAAAAAAAGGCTTGCCTACCAATATTGACTTCAAAATCATCTACTGATCTGCATTTAGTTTTCGAAATTAAGTTTTAAAATCATCTGGTAATTTTGAAATATGTATTTAACTAAAATACAAATACTTGTTGTTTTCTTTCATTACGATACACATCATTATAAAATATTTTCTACTATAATAAGCTACTAAGACTCCACATGAACTTTCACTGATAGACTTAATTGAATTGTTTTCTTAAAAATGACTATTTTAAATGCTTAGCTTCTAGATTACACAGCTAAATCACAATACTACATCACTTTGGGTATAAATTTTTTCCTGAAACAAGCTTTGCATTTCAACTCTAAGTTTAAAATAGAATATTATAAAGATGCTTATAAGTAAAGTTTTCCAGCCATCCTGCTCCTTGGATGACAACCTCAACCAACAATTATGTGATTTGCTAACGGACTGATTCCCATGATAGGATGCAAAATCTATGAATATAGTTAGAAATAATGACTTTTGGAAGACATGCCATGTTTTGCCTCATTCACAATAACAAATATTTATCCATTGATACGTGATAATTGTGGTTTTTCCTACTTGTCAGAAAGGCCAATAAAGCTAAAAAATCATTTAAAAAATCTTCCAATCATAAGTGCTACAATATATTGGTACAAAAACATTTACATAGAGTTGATTTGTTAGAAAAGTGATAACATAAATACATTTCGAGTCATTTATTAGAACATTTGTTCTTTAAATTACTCATTAAAAGTCAGACTAGAAACAAACAACTTTTATGAATGAGTTCTTAGCATTTAGACACTACGCACAGTGAAAAACTGCATATCTGAAATGGAATGTCAATTTCTCAATCAAAAACCTTTGAGATAAAAGCTGATGCAAACAATATATCTGACAGATACTGATGAAGTGCCAAAAAGGAATGTAACAAACAATGCAAAACCCAGCATGCTTCAATATCCCCCAAACCCAGGAGGAATTAGTCTGGGAGACATGCAGCTCCATTCCCCACAGAATATCAATAAGAATGGGATGGGGAAACAGAAAAAGGATAAATCAATGGCATGTCATTTAATTATAATGTAATAGGCTTGAGAATACTTAATGGAAGTGTCATTTTGACCTTGTGGAACAACCAGTGCATTTTAGTTTAATGTACTCCTCCATCAAATCAGCTCCATGTCCTATTTATGTTGCCACTGTCACGTACTAACCGCAAAAGATTAAGAAATTGCCAAAAAATCACTACAAAATTCATTTCAAAGTAAACATACTGCACAATTTAAGTGGTATTGTTTTAAGGAAACCTTTTAAATTTAACATGGGTTCAGATGCTACAAATGATTACACAGTAATAGCACTGGACCTGAAAACAATGGTAAGAGTACAAATACAGGTTATTCCACAAACCTGGTGGAAACAGGTAATGAAAACACACACACAACAATTTAGCTCTTTATTTAAATAACACATGTAATAACAAAATTCTAATATTAAATTTCTTTTGATCAGGCATATTAAAAACAGGCTTATTGTTCTCAAAGATAAAAGTTTAAAATATTTATAAAATATTTTATAAATCTTCAAGTGAAATAAATTCTTCCTTTTTATAGCTCAAAATTTAAGATAATAATATCAAAGGTTAAGATTAAGTTTTTAAAAAGTTATATTTTATCAGTTACACAATTTTTTTACACATAATATTTTAAATGTCTACTTTCTAACTATAAAATGTGTACAAATACTCTCAAACTTCATGTACTGCTTATTTTAAATAGAAAAATATCAAAGTTATGAAGATTTGCACATCCAAAAATATGTTTGGCAATTTATTTCTGATCCCTATAGCCCCTGTCACACTTTGGTATAACCAAATGCCCCTTTCTGAACACTATTATTATTATTGTTAATGCTCCTTATTAATATATCATTTTCTAGAATAAAAATAATCTAAGTACTTTTATAATTATCTTTAAAAACTATCCCTCTTCATTAGAGATACTCTGGTTTTTAACATAACAAACAAAGCCAAAATAATTAAGTGAAATGACTGAGAAAATATAGCACATTTAATAAATTACAAGCACCTAAAAATTTCTCCTGCCCTCATCTGAAAAATTAATTGCAACTATTACTAACATTTTCTTTCTCTTTAACACAAAGTTCAACAAATAAGTAAAAACACCTGCTAAACTTTTAAAGTAACTACTTTTTTACCCTACTCTAACATTTTGCTTTACAACTTGCAAAGAGAGAAAGCCTTTGGACAAACTTCTTATATTTCAAAGGAACTTGTAAAAGAGAATCTGCTGACATATTAGATCCTTTTCGCATTACCCCAAAGCTTTTCTTCTAAGAACAATTGTGGTAAAGAGACATTTGGCTCCTAGGAAATTCCCAGAGGGTCAACCATATGCATCCTTCCATGGCACCTTCACAGCGCTGCTTTCTAGATTCATGTCTCAAAAGCAGCTTTCATCATTTACTTGTGTGTCAGTCAATATGATTTATGGACTGCATTCAACAAAGTCAAAGCATATAGAATGAGAAATATGACTACAATTTGCTAATTTGTTTTGTATTGAGCCACTTAGAGTCAAAGACCTGATGTCAGACTGAGACCAGCAACACAATTAACCAGCCGGTGACAGATTCATCCATCCTCCCTGCCAGGCTGTGCCAATCAAAGACAGCATGAGGTGACATTTGGTGAAATCAGTAAGAAAACTCATTCTCTAAGTAACCTATGTCAGACCTTGATTGACACTTTTTGAATTTAGTTTGTGGAACACAGCCACTCTTTACCCAATAGTCCCTCACTGCAAGCTGTGAAATAAGGCTTTTAATGCCAATCACAGGAACAATAAACCACAAACCACCACCCCTAGTCTAAAAGGAATCAAGAAAACACATCTGTTTGCATGTCAAGCCAAATTTCCCAAATAATTTACTATTATAGATTAGGCTAAAAATACTCTGTTTCCTTTGAAATGTCATAAAATAACACAGTAACAATAATACAACACATTTTATTAGATTATGCTTCAAAACTGTTCTGGTTTCAAAGTAATGTTTTCATAGATCTACTCTAATATAATAGTGGAAAAAATGTAGAATACTTAAAAACTAATTTGGCACATTTAAATTTTCATTTGAAGTTTTCATTTCTGTCCCACTATTCTCTTATTTCAAAGATCTCATAAAAAAAAAAGAAGGTTTGATTTCAATAGTAATTATTTGAAAGCATTTTTCAATGCTGCTTTCATTATCTCCAGTACATTTAACATAAAAATCTGCCCTTGAAATCACAACAATTCTTTCCATATTGGTATACTCTTCCTTAATGATCCCAGGAGAGTCCATTTTCCTTTATTTATATCCCCACAAAAGATCAACTCTGCACAATAAACTACTTTTTTTACTTAAGTAAAAAGAAATATACAGACTCAAATATATTGTGCATTGTATTATTCTTTAAATTGATAAAAGGTTTTATTTTCAAAGGTTATACAACCCTTGTCAGAAAAAAAATGGAGACAAATAAAATAATGGTCAATTTTAATATTAAACTTAACACTGGTAAGTGACCTTATTAATTCTGATTCTATATGGCTTTTTAAAGTTATTTAAAGTAAAGCAGTAAAATATTGCTATTTTATACAAACTCACTGCTTCTCAGTTTGCTACATAAATTTCAGTTATAAGACTGAAATAAGTCTTTTCAGAGACAAGAGAGGAAGTGAAGTTTTTTGATGAATTGGTCAGTCTCCTAAAGAGCCACAACCTATAGCCTTTTAAAATACAGACTAAAAGAATGAGGCCTTTCATCAAATGTAAAGTAAACACTAAAATCAGAAATAAAAAGTACTTAACTAAAATATAAAAAAGATGCCTAGTTGAAAACTAGACATTTTATTTCAAGAAATCTACTATTCTTCCTTCTATTTTATACAATAACCACTAATCTAGAGCCTTACTATATGAAACATCTCGCTCATATGTAAAGAATGTTATTAAATAAGAAAAAAAAATACCTAAAACATTAGTATAGAATATGAAAATTTCCCCATGATTTTACAAATGCACAAGGATTACTCTACCTAGTAAGATCTATTTTAACCAATTTTCTGGCCAAATACTTTATATAACACTGAAATGTCTCAGATTCCTAATCATATAGAATGGATAAATCATAAATGTTTAAATATCAAGATGAATTTCTTTAGAGTTTGAGTAATAATTTCAATACTACCTTGGAGACAGATTTTTGAGATTATGCCAAAAAATTCATAGGTCTATCAAAATATACTCAACTCTAAAACCACTACCATTCCCTACAATATCTCTTTTATACTTCTATATTCCTCTTATTCTCTTTGTGCCCCCATCTAATTACCTCTAGCCCTGACAGAACTGGTTACCACATCACTTAGCCATAATA